ATTTTTTTAGAAAAAACTCTAAATATTACACATTTTATATAAAAAAAACTGTAAATATTATACATTTATGATTAAAAAAAACTAGAAATATTGCACATTTGAAGGATAAAAAACTGTAAATATTCCACATTTTTAGGCTAAAATATGAACATATTGCACATTTGTAAGATAAAAAATGTAAATATTGCAATTTTTTAGAATAAAAAATGTAAATATTGTACATTTGTAGGATAAAACATGTAAATATTGTACATTTGTAGGATAAAAAACTTGATATTGCACATTTGTAAGATGAAAAATGTAAACATTGTACATTTTAGATAAAAAAACTGTAAATATTGCGCGTAGTTGGATTAAAAAAATTCAAATATTGCATATTTGTAGAATAACAATGTAAATATTACCCATTTCATATTTAAACTGTAACTATTGAACATTTTTAAGCTAAAAAACTTTAAATATTACACGTAGTAGAATAAAAACTGTAAATATTATACATTTTATGATTAAAAAAAAAAGTAAATATTGCATATTGTAGGATAAAAAAATGTCAATATTGCACATTTTATATGAAAAAACTTTAAATATTGCACATTGTAGAGTAAAAACTGTAAATATTACACTTTTTATGATAAAAAAAAAAACTGTAAATGTGAACCCTCTCCTGGTTTGGTTCTGGTTTTGAACTACAGTAAACATTTCCTCCTCTTCTTCCTTCTGGTCGCTAGGCAACGGGACCGTGTGTGCTCGGAGAACTCCAGCAGCCAATCGAGTAGCAGCGTTTCCAGCGTGAAGGCGGCGCCCGGCATGGCGCCTAGCAACGCCTACAAGCTCACGCAGAAGGAGAAAAAAGAGGCGTCCGGCTCCGCCCACCTGAGCCCGGAGGGGCGGGGCTCCCCGGGCGGGGAGGGGGGGGGCGCGGGGGGGCGGGGCTCCTCCAATGGGGGCGGGGCCAACTACGGGCAGCCAATGGGAGTCGACTGGACCAAGCCCAGCCCGGCGGACGCCGTGCGGTCCAACATGGCCGCCGCCTCCTCCAAGTTTCAGGCTCTGGGCCTGTACGACAAGCCCAGCATGTTCCACGGAAGCCCCGCCCCCTTAAAGGGCCAGAGCCCCGCCCACTTAAAGGGCCAGAGCCCCTCCCACCTTAATACCCAGAGCCCCGCCCACTTTATGGGCCAAAGCCCCGCCCACTTAAAGGGCCAGAGTCCCTCTCATCTTAATACCCAGAGCCCCGGCCACCTTAATACCCAGAGCCCCGCCCACTTTATGGGCCAAAGCCCCGCCCACCTTAAGGCCCCGCCCACCTCCAGCCAGTTCCTCAACAAGCTCTCGGACTTCTTCCAGCCGCCCACCTCCAAAGACCGAGACTCCTACAGCTTCCGGAGGACGCCGCCCCCCTACGGCGCCCCCTGGGGGCTCGCCGACCACAACCCCCCCGAGCCCAACGGCGAGCGGAGCCCGCCGCCGCCGTCGTCCCCGGCAACGGCGGCGCCCATCAGCCGGCAGGACCAGAAGCGCATGACGCTGGGACACAGCAAGCTGGACCTGGTGAACCAGTACAACAAGATGAAGTCCAAGCAGGTCTACAGCCGCTTTGAGCTCAAGAGCTCCGACTAGAGCTCAAAAACTCCAAACTAGAGCTCCGACTAG